CCATTTTTCCCTTGTTGTAGGACGAGTGGGAAAAACATCTCTTGTGCTGCGGTATGTGAATAATGTCTTTTCAGACAAACAGGAAGCAACAGTTCAAGCCTCTTATTTGACAAAGCGCCTTGTTGTTGAAGGTGTGCCTATTACGCTCTCTATATGGGTGCGTTGCCATCTCTTTGATATGTATTAATTTTGGTTGAATATCCATTAGCAAGAATTGTTTCTAATTTCGAGTTGGGAATGAATTTGTACTGTATTAGTGTATTTTTGCTACAATATCATACTTTTTTTTATTTAAAGATATTGCTATTGTTAGAACCAAAACACAGGTTTGGGGCTGAATTTATGATTTCATTAGCCTTGCCATAACTATGGCAGGTTGGGGATACATGTAGGATAGCTTGCTTGCAACTTAAGAAAGCTACAACATATTCTAGAGATGTTAAGAGTAGATGCTAAAGCAAGATAAGGATAAATATAAGGGCTGACACAGCCACCAACTACTCTAGATAAGTATCCTATGTAGATAAACACAAGGTTTATGCTTTCATTCTCCCCCTAAGTCTTGTGTGGCGCCTTCTGGGGAATTTGAACCATCCCAATCCTGGCGCAAAGCTCCTGGAATTTGACCCGCCCAAGGGACTTTGTGAGAAGGTCGGCGAGCTGATCCTGGGTGTCGATGTAGCCGGCCTTGATGATCCCCTCATCCAAACAGCTCCTGATGAAGTGGCACTTGATGCGGATATGCTTGCTGCGCTCATGGAAGACGGGGTTCTTCGCCAAGGCCAAGGCGGACTTGCTGTCCACCCTGAGCTCCACTGTTTCTGCGTCTCTGCCCAAGAGATCGCCCAGTAGCCGAGCCAACTAGAGAGCTTGAGTCGAAGCGGTTGTGGCAGCGATGTACTCCCCCTCACAACTGGACAGACCCACCACTTGCTGCTTGACCGACTGCCAGCTGATCAGACACTTGCCGAGGAAGAATAGCGTCCCGCTGATGCTCTTGCTTGTGTCGATGTCGCCGGCGAGGCCGCTGTCACTGTACCCGATGAAGTGCTCCGCACCGGGACACCTCGGGTAGTGCAAGCCGTAGTCGGAAGTGCCCACGACGTAGCGGAGGATCCTCTTGACGGCCTGCTCGTGCTCCGTCGTCGGTCGCTGCATGAACCGACTGACGTAGCCAACGGCGAACGCCAGGTCCGGCCGCGTGTGGACGAGGTAGCGAAGGCTGCCCACAATGCGCTGGTACCGCGTGGCGTCGACCTCCTTCGCCGTGCTGTCGCGGCTCAGCTTCAGCCTCAGCTCCATGGGAGTGTGTGCTGGGTTGTAGCCGGTGAGCCCGCCCAACTCGACGATGCGCTTGGCGTAGGCGGTTTGGCGAAGGGAGATGCCGGAGCTGTCCTGGTGGACCTCGATCCCCAGGTAGAAGGAGAGAAGGCCCAAGTCGCTCATCTGGAAGGTCGCCTTCATCTCCTCTTTGAACGACTCCACCTCGGCCTCCTTGGTGCCGGTGATCACCAAGACGTCGACGTAGACGCCTACCAACAGGGCATTGCCTTCCTTGCCCCACCGGTAGACTGCAGCCTCGTGAGGACTTTGCTGGAACCCCATTTGCTTGAGAGTGGAGTCCAGCTTGGCGTTCCAAGCTCGGGGTGCTTGCCGCAAGCCGTAGAGGGCCTTGCGTAGGCGAAGAACCTTGTTCTCCTTGCCGGGGATGACGAATCCCGGCGGCCGGTGGACGTAGACCTCCTTCAGGTCACCATTGAGGAAGGCGGACTTGACGTCCATGCGGTGCACACGCCAACCCTCCTGGGCCGCCAGTGCAAGGAGACGAACGGACTCCATCCGCGCAACAGGCGCGAAGGCGTCGTCGAAGTCGACTCCCTCCTGCTGGACGAACCCGCGCGCCACCATACACGCCTTGTGCTTGATCACCGCCCCGGCCTCATCCTTCTTGAGCTTGTAGACCCACTTAAGGGTGATGGTGCGGTGGCCGGCAGGAAGATCCGCCAACTCCCACATCCGGTTCCGCTCGACCGCGTCCATCTCCTGCTGCATCGCGGCGCGCCATGCCATGTCTCCCTCCGCCTCAGCGAGGGAGCGGGGCTCACCGTCCTCGTGCGCTAGGTGCAGCTCCGCCTCGAAGTCGTGCATCACCAGTCTAGGGACGGACTGATCATCAAAGATGTTGTCCAAGGTGCGGTAGCGTAGTGGCTCGTCGTTGTGGTAGGCATTCACGCGATCCTCGTCGTCGGATAGCGGAGTGGCGAACTCCACCGTGCGTTGCTCGTCACGGGCCAAAGCTGCTGGTGCCGATCTCGGAGGTGTGGGCCCTGATGTAGGAGATTGGGGAGCCGGTGTAGGAGAGCGGGGCGTAGCTGGTTGTACAGGTGGTGGAGGACTCGCTGGTGGTGTAGGCAGTGGAGAACTCGCCGGAGCTGATGGCGAGCCGGGTGCCGAGGTGGACGAGCTCGGTGAAGATGAGCTGCTAGCTCCCCCGGCTCCCTCGAAGTGGACGTAGTCGACGACGAAGTCTCTGAGAGTCAAAGTCGAGCCGTCGTCCACCGCCTTGACCCAAGCCCAACCTCGCTCTTCGTTGAACACAATGTCTCGGGAGATGCGGACGTGCTGTGTCGCAGGGTCGAGGATGCGGTAGGCCTTGACGCCCTCCGTGTAGCGGATGAAGACTCCCGGCGTGCTCCGGTCGTCGAGCTTGCCGACGTGGTTGAGCTCCTTGGCGAACGTGAGGTTGCCGAAGACGCGGAGGTGGCTGACCGTCGGTTTGCGCCCGAGCCAGGCCTCGTACGGCGTCTTGCCGTCAAGGGCCTTGGTGGGCGAGCGGTTGAGGAGATGGACGACAGTCATCACTGCCTCCCCCCGGTAGATTGCCGGCATCCCTCTCTGCTTGAGGAGGGCGCGGGCGGTGGCCACCACGGTCTGATTGCAGCACTCGACGACGTCGTTCTACTGCGGGGTGTACGGGGCGAAGTGGCGCTGGATCCCCTCGTCGGCGCAGTACGCCGTGAACTCAGTCGCCGTGAACTCGTCGCCGTTGTCGGTGCGTAGCACCCAAAGCTTGCGGCCGCACTCCTTCTCCGCAGCAGCTTGATGGCGTCCGCAGCTGCCGCCTTGGTGTCGAGCAGGACCGCCCACATGTAGCGGGACACGTCGTCGACGAGGAGCAGGAAGAAGCGCTTGCCTCCAGGTGTGGCCGGTGTCACGGGGCCGCAGAGGTCGCCGTGCACGAGCTCCAACTTCTCCTTGCGTGGAAGCTCGCCTGGCGGGGGAAAGGGAGCCGCCGCTGCTTGGTGAGGACGAAGGTGTCGCAGAACTGCTCCACGTGCTCGACTCGCGGCATGCCCTGCACCATCTCCTTGTTGCCGAGCTGCTTCAGGGCCTCGAAGTTGAGGTGCCCAAAGCGCTCGTGCCACCGCCAGGCGTCGTCGTCGCGGCGGGCTGCAAGACACACCGGCTACGCCACCTGCACGTGGAGGACGTAGAGGCGGTTGATGCCTCTGTTCACCTTGGCGAGAAGGCGACGATGGCGATCCCAGATGCGCAGGATCCCGTGCTCGATCTCCACGCGCGAGCCGTTCTCATCCAGCTGTCCCAAGCTGATGATGGAGTTTCTCAGCGCGGGGATGTAGTAGACACCGGTGAGCAGCCGGTGCTCGCCGGTCTTCGCGGTGAAGACGACGGAGCCTACACCCTTGATCTTCACGGCGGAGGCGTCCCCAAACTTGACGGAGCCTCGAACGCTAGTGTCGAGCTCGGAAAAGAACTCCCGCCGCCTGGTCATGTGGTGGGTGGCGCCGGTGTCGAGGTACCAGCTGTTGATCTTGTCGTCGCTGGACACGTTGCCGAGGAAGACGTGGGCCTGCGGCTCGTCGAGGTGGAGGAGCGCAGCGGCGGGCGACGAGGGAGGTGAGTGCAGCTCGATGCTCCCGTGCATGAAGAACAGAGCCGCCTCGTCACCCACCTGCGCTTGCGCGGCGTGTGCCTAACCACCGCGCTTCGCCTGCTGGCAATCCTTGGCCCAATGGCCGGTCCTCCCGCAATTCTTGCAGCTGTCGTCGCGGGTAGCCTTGCGCTCGCCGCCGGTGCCGTCAGGAGCGCCACCACGCGCCTTGTCCCGCTTGTGCGGCCGACGCTTGTGGCTGCTCGACGAACCCGAAGCCGAAGAACCCGAGGCCTCCCCCTTCTTCCGATCCCGCTGGCAGGCGAACCACTGCTCCTCGGTGAAGAGAAGCTTTCCACCGATTGTGACCGGCTCTGAGGGAGGTAGTTGCTCGCGGTTGTCGACGGCCTTGAGGCGACCCGTCACCTCCTCGATCGACAGCTCGGAGAAGTTCAGCAACATCTCAATCGCGATGGCGACCTGCGAGTACTTGGGGACGACGCGGAGGAACTTCTCGACAGCTCTCTCCTCGTCGATGTCGTTGTCGCCGTACCGCGCCAACTGCTGCATCAGGGTGTTGAGGCGGAGAGCGAAGTCGTCGACGTCCTCACCCGGCTTGAAAACTAGGTTCTCCCACTCTTGACGCAGCTTCTGAAGCGTGGACTTGCGGGCGCGGCCGCTGCTGATGTGTGCCGCGGCGATGGCGTCCCAGGCATCCTTGGCGGTCCGCTTGTTCGCGAGGGAGGAGTGCATCTCCGTCGGAACAGCAGCAAGAAGCACCTCCAGTGCTCACCGATCCTCGTCGAAGTCGGCGTCGGCGTCGCCGTACCGTACCGCGACCCACATGCTCCGCGCCTGCATCTTCACCTTCATCACCATGGACCACTCAGCGTAGTTGGTCTTGGTGAGCATGGGCCATCCGCCGCCGGCGTCCTTGACGACGGTCTGCACTACGGGAGGGGAGCATGGGCCATCCACTGCGAGGGCTCCACGCGCCACCGTCCCGTCCGCCCTACTCCCGGTCGAAGTCCAGCTGTGCCTCCAGCTCCGCCGCCTGCTCCCGCAGTCGCTGGGCCTCCATTGCGCGGTCGATTCGCGGATCCCGCCAATGGTCGCGTCTGCCTGTAGCACCGCCGAGGCCGCGTCCGCCTGGAACGCCGTCGAGGCCACGTCCGCCTGGGGCACGGAAATCGCGTCCACGCAGGTCTGCATCCGCCCGCTCGCGGTCTCGCGCGTCCCGGGCCCGCTCTAAGTCGCCGCGTCCGCCCGCACGCGCCCACTCCCGATCCGCGTCCTCGTCGCGAGCCCGACCGCGTCCGTCGCCGCGCGTCTGCTCCGTGGCGCAGAGCCGCTGCTCCTGCATCCGCCGCGTCCGCCCAGGCGCCGTAGTCCTCCTGCTTGCCCGTGTCCGCCTCCGCACGGAGCGCAGCCGCTGCTGCTGCAGCCTCCCGCGCCTCCGCTGCTGCCTGGTGGGCGGCTTCAGCCGCACGCGCCGCAGCAAGCTCCGCCTGGGCGATGCGAGCCGCACGCTCGGCCGCTTCCTCCTCGCGCCTGGCTGCTGCAGCTGCTGCTGCACGTGTGTTGGAGGTGGTGGAACGGTTGGAGGAAGAGGATGAGGAGTGGAGGGACATGGCGACGGATTGGGATGGGGTAAGGGTAAAACCTAGATGAACTTAGGCTCTAGATACCATTTGTTAGAACCAAAACACAGGTTTGGGGCTGAATTTGTGATTTCATTAGCCTTGCCACAACTATGGCAGGTTGGGGATACATATAGGATAGCTTGCATGCAACTTAAGAAAGCTACAGCATATTCTAGAGATGTTAAGAGTAGATGCTAAAGCAAGATAAGGATAAAGATAGGGCTGACACAGCCCCCAACTACTCTACATGCAACTTAAGAAAGCTACAGCATATTTTAGAGATGTTAAGAGTAGATGCTAAAGCAAGATAAGGATAAAGATAGGGCTGACACAGCCCCCAACTACTCTAGATAAGTATCCTAGGTAGATAAACACAAGGCTTATGCTTTCAGCTATACCTTGATTAAAGTTATGTAAAAATTCTACATCCCATCCATCTACATTGAAATATTTGTATTATTTCGTTACAAAAAATGTTTCTTATTCAGTTCATTAATTTAATTGATTTGGTCATATTTACACATACATGTTTTAGAGTACTTTTTGTAAAGATGCTTAAGTTTTTGCATGTACTTTTTCTTTTCTCAAACATGCAGGAGAACTGTATTATTGCATAATAGAAGAAGAATGATCTGGTTACAATCTTAGTACCGTGCTTAGGCTTGTTCTCATACCTGTACTTGTTACTTGTTTACTTCTTTTTTGAGGGCATTACTTTTACATGTTCACTGAACATTCTTGAGAACTACAGAGTGTCCTTCTCCGACATCTGAAGTATTTTACAAGAATGCTGAGTTAAGAATCCTAGGTCCTCAGTCTTTCTAGCTTGTAGAGTCAACAAAAGATTCTGTAGCTACCAGTTACTGTTGTTCTTTTATTTCATGCAATGCATTTGATGTTTGTTAACACTGGAATGATACCTTACAATGTACTTTTAAGTTTCTACCTCAAGCTCTGTTAGTAAGTATATTCGTTGCTTTCAGGACACAGCTGGACAAGAAAAGTTTCATGCACTCGGTCCTATATACTATCGTGATGCAGATGGTACAACCTACTTCTTTTTAGCAGTAAAGTGATCTATACGTATCCCCATTTTCTCACCATTTATATCATTGCAGCTGCTCTATTAGTGTATGACATCACAGATAGTGATAGTTTTCTTCGTGTCACGAAATGGGTGAAAGAGCTAAAACAAATGGCAAGTAAAGATATTGTTATGGCCATTGCAGCGAATAAAAGTGATTTGGTCAGATTGAAGAACATAGACACTCAAGATGCTGTAAGGTATTGCTCTTTGTTATGCTATATTTAAACTAAGCAGGTTCCATATCAGTAATTTTTTCTTGACAATTGGAAGCCTGACTCCTGAAGGGCGGGCCTGGTGCAAGCGGTAGAGTCTTACCGCCTGTGACCGGAAGGTCCCGGGTTCGAGTCGCGGTCTCCTCGCATTGCACAGGCGAGGGTAAGGCTCGCCACTGACACCCTTCCTCAGACCCCGTACAGAGCGGGAGCTCTCTGCACTGGGTACGCCCTTTTGGAAGCCTGACTCCTCTGAGATATCTATGCCAATATGAACCAGTGGTAATGTAAAGAACTAGGAACTTTGTTTCTTGCTTTAGGGACTGTGCAGACAAGGTCCTTAATCATTGAATTTTTTTTATGTAGAGAAGTTTGTTAGGTCGCTGCCGTTTTAATTTGCTTGTGCTATTAGTTCTTGACATCTTGGTGCTCAATCCAAAAAGAAGCAAATGGAAAAGAAAATGAATGCCAAGGAATGATCTGTTTCCTTATTTTGATAATTTGGGGTCTATGTGAAGCAGTTAGCTAGAATGTTGCCTCTTTAACATGGACACGATTATAAGTCTCTGAGCAAGAGAGGGATGTCGTATCTGGAACAGAAATTTTCTGCCCTTAAATAGAAGAGAACTAATGCATTGTCCTTTACTTTGCACATCAGTTTAACAATCTGATATGTTAACATAATTGCAGCATATCACAATCGGCAAAAGTACTATCTCTATTTTAAAATTTATTTGGCCTTTCATAGTCCTGATATTTCTCTGTCATGGAACTATAACATTTTATCTAATCAATTGTTATTTCTGCCTACAGTTATGCAGAAAGTATTGTGACAAATCTCTTTGTTACATCTGCCAAAGCAGGGACTGGAATCGATGATGTCTTCAGTGATATAGCCAAACGTAGGTTCTGTTTTTTGTAGGCACATATAATTGCCTTTCAATGTTAGCTGTATCAGGCACCGCACTACTGTTCTTCCATAAGTTGTAATAAACTATTTACTGAATTATATTATGATAATGACCACTAGTATTTATTTAGTGATTTCAATTGCTTCATGTTTCTTAAGGCTGTTGGCCTGTCACTTATGCATAAACCCAACCTGTCTTCAGGCCATGGCAGTCCTTGATATGCTAAATGCCTCTGTTTATTGCTTTGTCTCTAGTGTATACTAGTTACATGTATATTTTGCAATAAGGTACTTTAGTCATTGAATCTGTTTTATTTTAATGTGTATCATTGTACATGCCTTGATTTATTCCTGATCGTCAGGACTTTTAACAAGGGAAATCAAATAGTTTCCACTCAAAATGCGCATTTTTATTGTTGGTATAGGCACAATGAACTCTGTAGTAAAACATTTTCTTACAACAATTTCATATATTTTAGGGATTGCAAAACTATAGAGTGTTTTACTTTTAACTGTTTATGTTTATCTTGGTAAATTGCTACATACTTGACTGCCTCGATATGCAGGATTACTAGAGAAGAGAAAAAACAGCGCTGATGCCTTGTCACCACCTCAGCCAAAGAAGGGAATCCTGATTGTCGATGACGAGCCTGAGAAAGAACCCCCACCTAAGTGTTGCTCATAATGATATTGCAGGTATAACATTGTAAAAACCTTCATGCTATTTGTAAAGACGCAAAATCATACATCAAATCAGCGCTGGACTATTTGGGGGCAGTTACTCCCTGTTGCTATAGAAGAGTAATGGTTGATGAGCTTTTAGGTCAGGTAAATGCTTCAACCCATAGATTTCTGTCAATGTAACAGTTCAGTCATGAATAGTGAACTTGAGATGAAGCCAATGCCTATTGCACACTTTTACAGTATGGCTTATAGATTTTCCTGAATATGGTGGAGAAAAATAGTTTTATACAGTGAAGTGCTGCAGTGATTTTCATGTGAAGTCTATTTTATTCATAACAAGAATGAGCCCGTTTTATTCAATGTCTATTATATCACAAATTAGGCCATGATGGGCTTTATCTTTGATTGCTCGGCCCACTTAACAAAAACCTTGACAGGTCGACAGCCCAACAGAGCTAGTCCCACAATTTGGTCCTGTTTGGATCCTTGAGACTAAGAACTACTGTTAGGGCCTGTTTGGGAGAGCCCGGCTCTGAAAAACAGATTTCAAAATCTAGCTTCACCAAGATCCACTGTATAGCAGCTCCATTGTGGATCCAGGCTCCCACTAACGTTTTGGTGTTGTAAAAAAAAAACAAGAACACAGGCAATTTAAACTCAAAAGTCATCAGCAACAAGACATGAAGATCAGCTAGCACCAGCAGCCAACCATGCAAAATTGAACAGCTCGGTATGTAGCTGTGAGTGACTACTCATCATTCTCCTCCACATCATCCCCAACAATTGGGGCAACATCCTCTTGGCCAGACTCAAATTCAATCTCATCCTCATTGATTGGTTCTTCTTTTTCAGACTCAAATTCATCTTCACTAACATCTCTCATTTGGGCCAGCCTTGCACTCCTAGGAAGTTTTCCACATTCTTCAGCCCCACAGGCCTCTTCAATTAATTTCCATGTCGACCCAGAAACATGCTCACCATCCTCTTCGTCTCCACATTCAATGAGCCATCCCTGAGCTCGAGTTTCTTGAGTTCCCAAAAGAGGATCCATTTTCTGGTTCTGCTTGGCCCTCTCTTTTTTTCACATTCATCTTTGTATTGTATTGAACAAAAACAAGTTGGCTGAGGCGCTCACAAGTCAGCTTGTTTCTTTTCTTGGTATGATTCTACATAAGCAAATTTAGGTTTAATAACAAATCTGAAATGACAAGTTATATAGACATAATTAAAGTTTAGACATACAAAGAGTTGGGAGGCTTACCTCTTCGAAATAGGTCCAATTCCTTTCACAAGCTGAAGAACTAGAAGTTAAAGATAGAATCCTTATAGCCATCCTTTGCAAAGTTGGAACTTGTGTTCCATAATTCCCCCACCATGGTTCTTGAAGTCAAAAATATCAAGGAATTACTATGTAGAATTTGTCCTCCCAGCAGTATTTATACCAAATTACTATGAAAATGATAAGCTTAATAGGGAACAAAGACAAGTTGCTGCAGATTCAATTGTGGCAGAAAAAAAAACTCAACAACATTATACAGACAAGTTGTTTATGTTTTGAGATAACAGGGAACGAAGACAACTTGTTTCAAAAGTACCAAGGTCTTACTATGCTGATTTCAATGTCATGTTTACAGAACTGTTGTGTAAAGCTAGACAAATGAATTACCTGGGTTGAAATCATAGTCCTTGCAGCCTGCCTTTGCCACGGGTTTTCCAAAGTGGCGTTGTTTAAACGGCTGTTGAAAATGGCAAAGGCATTTGTAGTCATGAGATGCGCTCTCTATTGGAGGACCCGGCTTTGCAGCCTGCGCTCTCTATAATTGTTTGAAAATTATATGCCAAGTATATATACCAAAAGTATGCCAAGTATATATATATATATACACACACACACACCAAAAAGTATGCTTCAATGCAAATTTTTAGATTTTTCTAAACACTTTTAGATATTATTAGAATTATTGTGATGATTTAGAGACAGAAGATCAAATCATCCCTACAAAAATAATTAGAATTTTCATCTATCTCTAGGAAAAATGGCTGAATGGACCATATGAGCCCTGTTTTTCAGTACTACTTCAGCAGTACTTTTCAGCGAAGGAACAATATTTTCCCCTCACAACAAATCAGTATAAGCATCAGCAGCAGCTAAATTTCAGGAAGCGAATAGGGCCGATATTTTTTTTACCTTATTAGGGTACATGCAATTTAATTTTGATTTTTTATAGAACGCAAAAGTCATTTAAACTATAAAAAATAGTGAACCATTTTAAAAAAATTTAACTCCTAGACAACAACATATATGTCATCTATTGCATGTGATGATAGTTTTAGGCTATATAAGACAAAAGTTTTATATAATAACCAAGATCTTAAAAATTACATATACAATAACAAATACCTTTTCAGAACCTCCACTAGACCAATATTACCATCAAAGTCTATAGATATATTACAACATAACCGCAGAATATCAGTCATATACGGTTGAAGCGACATTCGAATAATCACCTAATAAACCTTCTTCTGCTACCCTGAGGGGGTTTCAAAGGTGCCATTGGGCTAGGAAAAGAGAATGGGCTAGTGCCTCTTCCTCAATCTACATAGCCCAAGAACCTCAATCCACATAGCCCAAGAACCAACAGGATTACACTAGCATTGGCTGCAGAGTGTCTTAGATCCAGCGTGGCTCTGTCTTTAGTTTTCTTCTGGTACACCTGTTCACCATCTTAAATACAAAGGGAAGCTGTATGCGGATGGTTTTCCCTTAGAGAGATGGTTCCTCCTATAGAGAGTGCATCTTAGACTACAAACGCTAAAGCAATGGGTATGTGATACCGGATATATGGGACTACAAGGAGACCTCAATTATTCATACGCATGATTTATAACCAAAAGCAATGGTGATAGCTGGATCCGATGGCAGGGCACCAAGTAATTCAGTGGTAGGTGCGTGGATCCAACAATATATCCAAAACACTATTGAGTCAATCCAAAATCCGACAGTGATGCTCTTATGCTGCTATCAGGTCAAGCTATAACCTGACATTAGCATATCATTGCCGGGTTATGGCTCAACACGACAGTGATCATCCATATCACTACTAGTTGGTGGCTCTATCAGACAGTAATATATTGCTATGGATCTTAGGGCTACTGTTCTTTGTTGTCTCTGTAGATCTTGGATTCCATCTCAACCCTATCACACATGTGCTCATTGTGAAGAGGCCCCTGCTCAGTGCGCTATATCGCGTACCCCACGGCCTTTGCGTCAACTGTGGCAATGCCAGGAAATGGGACTGCAATCAATTAAAACACTCACTGTGCTACCACAGTGTAAGTTGTGTAACATCCAATTGTTGGATCATCGAGTAATCACGCATTCTCATTACGCTCCCGTCCGTCACGCGCAAAGGCAGGCATCATGCTTTCATCTTTTGGCACGCGTAGTCTTCAGGGCTGCTTTTGTCTGCCTGCCCCCATGGGAGATTCCTCACTCCTAACACGGACGACTAATGACACCCTTGTTTAAGAGCTCCCAAAGCTCTAATCTTGAGATTTCTTGTAATGATGAAGATCTAGGGCTCTGTTCGTTTATCTTATAATCTTTCTTTTTCAGCTTATTTTTTCAGCTGAAACAGTATTTTTCTCACACAACAAATCAGTCGAAACGGTATTTCGTCTTGTTTTTTCAGCGAAACGAACGGGGCCTAATGTCCCAGCGACACCGCGATATTAATATATCACGTCCACCAACTCCTGTCCCTCGGCATCAACACTTTTGAAAAGTAGGATGGGGTACTTTCACATTGTATTTTTGGACTCGTAAATATATACTACTAGTATACTAGGGCGGAGCACAGTAATCAATGTTATGTGATGGGACGGACAGCGAAAGCAAGCGTGGAACACAAAATTAACCGGCTATGCGCACCCTTCTTTTTTGTTTGACGTAGCATTGTATCGATATGGAAATTGTTATACTACTGATAACTTGTGTATGAAAATGACATTATAGAAATATATCTTTAGTAGCATGATGCAAAATTTTACAGGTAAGTAGCGATCAAAGTCGTATATGGCATTACGAAGGGGGTTAAAAACATGACAGAGAATGCAGTAGTTATTGTCCTTCTGATATAAGGAGTAGTTTAGGGCATGTTTGGTTACTTTTTTTATCACATAATCTGGCTCGCGTGAGCTTAGCCGGCTCAGTTGAGCCAGGCTGAACTCATACAAGGTCGCTTTGTTTGGTTGCTCGTATTTAGCCATCCAGGCTCAGTAGATACGGTGTTTGGTTGTCCGCATGAGAATATGTCGCATTAGATAAAATGTGTAAGACAAAAGTAGTTGTTATATTTATGTACTAATATTGCTTAATATATACTAATTATAAACTAAACACATATTAGCTGGGAGCTACTTCGTATCCAGCGCTTGGCAGCCACGTTCCCTCAAGAGAACATGAACGTGAAACGGAAATGAGAACTTGGGATGTTATTTTATAATGTGGGAACATAGCTGTTCCCGAATCGGGACGTGGACGTTCCTAGAACGAGGGACGTGATCATGTTCCACGTTTTCGGCTGCTAAGATCCAGCGAGCGAGGCCCGTGAAACGAAAACAAAACTCGTTTCTCATAAGCCAGCTAAGGGAGCTCTTTTGCATCTCATGGGATAGCCTCATGCATTGTTTAGACAACCAAACAATTGAAAACTACGTCCTGTAAGCCTGTCTCGGCCTTACACAGACAACCAAACAAGCTGGGTTATTCTATATTCCCTATGTCCACAAAAATATTCACAATTCTTATTTTTGAGGAGTCAAACAATTTTAATCTTTTAACCGAAGTTATATAAAAAAATGCTAGCATTTATGATATAAGATAAGTATCAGTAAATTAATTATAAAATATATGTTTATGTAAACCAAGTTAGAATAATACTATTTACTATAAATTTGATCAAAATTAAGCTAGTTTGGTTTGTAAAAATTATATAGTCACATCTTTTTGTGAGGAGGTAGTACTAAATTGTGTTCCTTACTAAACCTAGTTGGAATAATACTATTTACTAAAGAACGGCCAATCGTCACCAAAAAAAAAAAAACGGCTAGTGGGACTCGGCTTGATGGTGAAAAGATCACTATGCGCCGTAAATTCCTGAATGGCATCTCATGACTACCTCCGGTCCTCCGGGCATTCCGTGCAACATACAAGACTGGGCAGGTCAGACCAGGCAGTCCAGGCAAGGACCACCTGTTTTAGGCAAAAGTGCTCCCCCTTTGCCATCTCTCTTCCCTGACTTATGCTCACAAGCATCTTTTTGAAATAACAAAACTATATATTTTCAATAGACAAATAAATGGTAGTTTGTTTTCTTAACTAGATTGCATGTTTGAATTAGAAAAATATTTTAAAGTTTTAGTTTATATTTGGGTAACTTTTGTTTAGAACCCCCCATTCTTAAGTATTAGCGATGGTAGCATCTCCCTAAAGGTTTGGATGGTCGAGAACCAGTTGTGGTACTATCAAACACAAAGGATGATTTGTGCCACAAATCAGTTATGATCTCAGATGACCATCACAACAACTTATGAAGGTCCCCATTGCCCAACTAGTTATTATTTTGAATCGGTTCTACACCTCAGTGCAGGATTTTGTAGAAACTCTACACTATTACAGATTTGATTTTTAACAACGTCTCCTTTTTTAATCTTGAGTAGGTAGTGTTACTCTATTGTCCCTACTTTTGTTTTAAGTCATGTCTAAAGCATTTCTTCCTCTTTCCTGCACAAGAATTGCAAGTCGTAAGAATCATGTTTCCTTATGCAACATTGCATTTGTGTAGGAACTAGGAACCGAAGCGACTGAAGAGACGTTCATTGAGCTGGAGGTTGACTACATAGTTGAACTCTTTTTTGTGGATGTCCCGTCCATATTGACCTCTTTTTTGGCAATGTATGCAGAAACTTTTTTGCAAACTTAGAATAGGTAGTAGCGATCGATGCACACATTGGCAAAAAAAAAAAAAGAGGAAGTAATAGCGATGC